TACGGGCATGATAGCTTTCTTACTTTTTCTTTTTTTTTTCATTTTCTCATCGAAAACAAGTAGCGTCTTTGATATGTCTTTTCCGTGTTTCCACGCGATCAAAACAGAATTTATGAGGTATTGACAGGACATAACAAACGTGCTAAGGAACTCAGGGAGGGATAAACTGAATTACAAATTATTATTATTGATAATAATCGTGATACATTTCTTCTTCTTCTTCTTCTTATTATTATTATTATTATTATTATTATTATTATTATTTCGCCCTTACTTCCCGAAGGAGTCGTTGGGGCGCCGACGTGCTGATCTTCCCACTATTCTCCTACATCTGACGCGGTTGTACACCAAAGCCTAGGTCTCCGCGGATGGTTTCTCGGTGTGCTCATTATGTGGCGTGCCTTGGGGATTTTAACCTGGCGGAGCCCTTCCCTCTCCAGCTTAGACCATAGCTAATGTCCTCCAACTAGTTGTATCGTAACAAATTCAGTAAGAAACCATTTTAATATATGTAATCTTCCAGCCTACGGATAATATTCCTGACTAGGAAATAAGCTTCATCCGTTTATTCTATCATTCTGAGCGTACTGGGAACTCTTTATTGTAAAGTCTTGAAAAGCGGAGAGGAAGTACTATTCTACTTTCATTTTTCAATAAAATCTTCACGGCCCGTAAGAACCATGACAAATTTATTATCCAAAGAAAAAAAATAAGCAGAAAATATCAGTAAAAATATTTATAATTTAAAAGAAATAATGAAGTAAAATCATTTTTTATTCCAATGTCTACGCGGCATTTTTTTCTTTCTGTATCTATTTACAGTTTCTTTTCTAACGTTCAGTTTCAGCTGACATTATTTTGTTATTTTTTTTTTATTTATCTATTTATTTGTTTTCTTTAATTGAAAAGCGGAAAGGGGGGGGAATTTTGTGATGATATTCATCCTAATATCACCTGCTACATCAATACATATCAACTACAATCTATACACATATCGACAAAGACAGACGGTCGACGTTATTTCCCAACATGGCTTCTCAAAAATTAATACGAACGTTTCCCGCCGTATGAAATTACGCGCCTTATCACATGCCACTTTCGTTTATTTAATACTGTTTTTTTTTTTCTTTCCTTCATTTTTTTCGGAAACGAAACAGCAGCATCTTTTTCCTCGTGTGTGCAAATTTGTTAGAAAACAAAGTCCTCTTCACCGTCTTTTGTAACGCGTTCGCACAATATCATCACCTACCTAACCACTTACATTCAGCACAATTTTCACGCACAGTACTTTTTTCACAACTCATGCGTAAAAACACACTTTGGATATACATCTTATCGTTTCAAGTTTATGCACATTTTCTCGAATGATATTCTTTGACTTTATATATGAATAGGAACCTGTTAAGCAAAAATTATGACTGTAATTGCTTTTTATATTAGTGTTTATTCAGATATTTTCATATTATATTCTTCAAGTTCATGATGACTTCCTTTAGTGTAGTGGAGTATTTTTTACATCAATATTCCTCAGCTCTTCTCTTTGTTTCAACAAAAGTTTAAGCCATTCCTCAAGACTTGTTTTTCATTATATTTTTTTCTTAATCTTTTTCATATAAACGAAACCGAACGTGAATTAATCATTTCTTTGATGTTAATTCACTCAGCTGCTCGGGATCTGAGCAAAAATAACATAATGTTCACTTCGTGCGATGGTTAACCACCATTTTCTTAGAAGTGTAGAGCAGCTACCAAATTATTATTATTTAGACTATTTACATTCGGACTATTGTCCTCAATTTGTTGTTGGTATCACAGCGTTTCGGTTGTTGGGCCCTCCGGCCTTCATTTTGCTTTTGACAACAGAAATAATTGCGTTATGTTGATTGATAAGCTGAATGTGCCTACTTAGCGAGTCACGTATTTACATTGATTTATGTATGCGTGTAAACTGGGTAACTTACGAGGAATTCTGAGCTGATCACTTTATTTAATCTACGAATGTAGACTGTTCTCGTTCCACTGTCTATATCTAGAGATATCTCGCCTAGTTCTTATTTTTAGTCCTGCTCAGTTACTGCTCACCCGTTTCTACACACTGCACGTAATTGAACTCAAAATTACTGTCACCAAATTCACGCGCCAACACTTTCACAGTGTCAAAATTTGCTTTCAGTATGTATATTACTATTAATGTGTTTTATAATGCAGAAGAGCTGGCAGAATATTAAAATCAAATTTCCATAAAACAATAGCATAAATTAAAATAACGGCTCTTATACAAAAGTCACACAATGTTGTTCATTCATCCCGAACGATGGACGCCAGCCTAGTGAAAAAATATTAACGATTTAAAATTGAAACACACACAGACAAACACACATATGTATATATTTTTTTTCGTTCTGATGTGAGAAAGCCCATCTAAAGTTAGCCGAAATGCGTAATCAAATCGATAAAACAGTTTTTCACTTGTCAATATATCTATAGAGGAAAAAGCGAAGAAAAGAAATAAACTTCAAACACAGTTCTACAAATTTAAATAATGTTATTTTTGAGTATTAGTTTTCTTTCAAGTTGAAAGACACGAATTACAAACATCCCCCTAAAAAAGTCCCAGAAAAATATTGTGTTTTTGTTGTTTAGGTTGGTATGATTGAAAAGCTGAATGCGCCTACTTAACGAGAGAATTTCATATTTACCTTGATTGGTGTATGCGTGTAATTTTTCAGCAGTGAGCGAATGAGCGCCATTGTTACTACTAATAATATTCGTTAGTTTACATAACTTAATTCGTATGATTTAAGTGTCGCATAATTTACTTTAAAATCGCGAAGCTATTTGCGAGAAGTTTCTCGATAAATATGCGAAATACTGAATAATTAACTTTACGAAAGATATAATTAATCAACATCGCACAAGAACACTGATCAATGGATTACTTAAAAACTGAAAAATGACTTTGTGAATTTATGCGACGATATTTGTCTATAATTAAATGTGTGAATGTAACAGATATGGAAAACAAGGAAAACTTTTATTTCATGTACATATTATTTGGTCAAATACGAACATTTTATTTTTTTAATTTCGGTGGAGCCTAGAAGACTGCATCTCTTATAATCAACCTAATGACTACCTCGGCCATAGGTCGACGACATTAGATAAAAAATTGACAAACCATTTAAGCAATCTCAGTGACATAAAAAAGCGCTTAAATATTCACCTACAACTACCTGCCCCCATAAAACAATCCTTGTAGATAACACCGTCATTCTAAGAACATCTAATTGTAAAAACTGTCTTAGGTTAATTGAATCATTTTGTATAAAACGGTTTAAAGAAAGCCTCATCCTTACTCTGTTTTACATCAGGTAGAATGTGTTGGCTGTCTTACATCTGCAAAATACAACTTAGGACATACACAATACAATTTAGAACACAAGGAAACATAATAAAAAGGAACCCATTGAAAATGGCTAATGAATTAGACGAAAGCGCTGGAGCCAATAATGACTACGGGTTGTTTGTCTTCTTGCTTTGTCCCCAAAAAGGCTAACTATAAGAACATCATAAAAGTGGAATAAAAACTTATGAGGTTTTTCTATGTCCGTTACATTCAGTGACATGTGTATAGAAGAAAGATTATTTATATATATATATATATTTGGTTGGATTGATGTGATATGTTAGATTTTTAAAAAGTGCTCAATACAGAGTAGAACTTAATAATATTATTTATTAATAATTACAACAAAAACGTTATAAACCGCTACAATAATGCAATCATGTTTCGACACAGTGGGTACCTCATCAGGCGATGGTGCTCAACTGGAGTATAGACGGTCATTTTATGGTTTAAAATAGCAATACTCTCAACGGGGAGGGATCGAAAAAAAGGGCCTAAATTTCTAATATGCTAATGGGATGGGCGACCTCGGTTAACCAATCAGACGTCGATGATGAGTTTCGTGGTGGATTTCTATTGGCTGTTATTTTGAATCTTACCTCGATGTTAATAGAGAATTACAGCAATAACAATGCGGTTCTATAGAAGGAGACCGTGAATACCATGACTGAACATGTGAATAACGGAGCCGTTTTAAGGAAAATGGAAACAAAACAGACGCTAATATTTAAAATCAGACTGAGACAGTAGACATTTCTAAGGCACATAATGAGGAAAGTAAAGTGGAAAAATTGACACTCACAAGACTCAGTGATGACAAGAGTAAAGTAATGAATAGCCTATCGAACAATCTCGTGTAAATGGATAGCATAACAAGGACTGGGAGGAAAGGTGAAAATAAAAATCTTACTAAATTACAAACGATAGGAAGTTGTGGAGAGATATAATCATCTATATCCGGAATATACATAGCACATAAAAGAATGCTGGCAACTTTTGCGCTTACCTGATATAAAAAGTACGGGGTTTTACTGGTTATTGCTTGTAGTTAAATTCTTTGGTTCTAATACGGACTTCCTTATTTTTACATTCTCAACTTGTGTATCGAACACTTTCTCCTTGTCCGTTCGTATTGTTCGATTTGATAACAACTACTTATAAGATGAGCCCATAGAACTCGATCAAAGGAACTGCTCCGTACGAGATTGCCAGCTGTGACAGATGGCGTTAAGAGCGCGCGGCAATTCACTCATTTAGACGATTTCACTGCCTAACATCAAAGTTAATTCACTGATTTAGTTCGACGAGATTTTGAGGGATTCTGTATCTTCTTTAAATGGGTCCGTAGATATGTTACGGAGGTTGCTTATACATCTGTATATGGTAATGCCCTAATCGTTGTGGCGTAAGAAAAAGGACGGAAAGAATAAAGGCGGGAAAGATAAAGGCGGGAAAAAGAAAGGCGGGAAAAAGGAAGGCGGGAAAAGAGGAAAAGAAAAATGGTTGCATCGTTTAGTGAAGGATATGGAAGGAAAGGAATAGTACGGTGAAAATATAAATAAAAAAAGAAAAGGGGTGCAAAGGAAAGTGCAATTTAAAGAAAGAAAGAAAGAAAGAAAGAAAGAAAGAAAGAAAGACTATAAAAACATGTCGGGAAATAAAGACTACAACACAGGTGTAAGAAGGAAACAGTAAAAAGAAAGAAAGAAAGAAAGAAAGAAAGAAAGAAAGAAAGAAAGAAAGAAAGAAAGAAAGAAAGAAAATATTTACTCTAGAATCTGTAAAGACATGAAATTAAGAAAGAAAGAAAGATCTTCTCTAGAATCTGTAAAATAAAAGAAAGAAAGAAATATATTCTATAGAATTTGTACAAGACATGAAAGAAAGAAAGAATGAATGAATGAAGATCTCTAGAATCTATAAAAGACATGAAATTAAGAAAGAAAGAACGAAAACATATTCCGTGAAATCTTATCAAGCATGAATGAAAAAAAATATAGAAAGAGGAATATCTTCTCAGGAATCCGAAAAAGACAAGAAAGAAAGAAAGAAAGAAAGAAAGAAAGAAAGAAAGAAAGAAAGCAAGAAAGAGTGTGTGTGCGTGTGTGTGTTTGTGAGAAAGAAAGAAAAGAAAGAAATATATTCTATAGAATTTGTACAAGACAAGAAAAGAAAGAAAGAAAAAAGAAAGAAAGAAAAGATCTTCTCTAGAATCTGTACAAGACATTAAATTGAGAAAGAAAGAAAGAAAGAAAGAAAGAAAGAAAGAACTGGAGAAGAAAAGAAGGAATAAAATTTAAAAAAGAGAAAGGAAAACAATAAATCTGAATGAGAGATTAGTTGATTTGTTATTATGGCTTATCAACCTTTTGCAGATTATTTAATGTCAGAAAAACCCTACTAATTAACCCATAGCTTAGGGAAGAAGTGGTGAATTTATACCTTTCTAAATGATATTTGTGTAATTGAATATAATGAAATTAAAATTGGGCTATCTAATTTCCAGTTCTGGGTTGTTATTTGTTACCTCAGCGACACATCAAAGCTTTCAGCACCTGGTATTCTCAAACGGTCACCCATCTAGGTACTGACCAGGCTCGATGTTCCTTAACTTTGGTGATCGTACGAGAATAGGTCTTTCAACTTGATATGAACGTAAGCCCCTGAAAGAAAAGAAAATTTCCGTCAGTAATATGAGGCAAAAAGATGGTGGAAAAGGAGGCGTAGTAAAGAACAACACAATATGATAAATAAATAAAAAAAAAACTATTTACGAGATCTGATGAAAATCAACGGGGCTGGTGCTATAAAAAGAAAACTACGACACATATCAATTCAACATTTAATCTCCTTCGAAGTAGTCCCATTCTGAAATCACACACTGTTGTTTACAATGATGGATCTCCTTCTGGGGAAATAGCGAGCAACTGCCGCGTTGCATTCACTTGGATTTCCTCGACATCTTGGAATCTTCTTCCTTTCAAGTAGGATTTGAATTTTGAAGAGGAAAAAGTTTCAAGGGGAAAGATCTGGGGAAAATAATTGTGGTCGAACCTAGGGAATGTTGTTGTGCTTCTCCAAAGATTTCTGCACGAGCAATGGTCGCTGATTTAAACTATGTGGTAGACGACCACACTCTACACACCTTCCTTTCAAAAAATGGGCGAGAACATTATAGGGTTCAAAATCAATCTGTGCCAAACTTCACTCTCCGTAATTAGTTCCGTTACCTTAGCAACAGTCCAGATCCTTTTATATTTATTAAATCTCGTAAATGTTAATAGACTTTTTTCTAAATCGTTTTTGTTACTGAGTTCTTCGGATAACTATCTCTACATTAAACATATTTATTCCATTTTATTCGCTTTGACTGAACCTTAATACAACCATTTCAGGCGTCTGAATTTTTTAAAACCTTTCATTCCTCATCATTCAGGGATGAAAACCCACATTTTACAGTCCATATCTTCATTTACAATAAACACAAGATATATTTTACTTGCTACTTCTACTGCTTATGTCCCAAGTTTAAATTCGCACAAGCTCACCTAATCAACATTTGATAAAACAATACTAGACTTAATAAAAAAAACAAAATAATAAGCTAAAACTTGAAGGAGGAATTTATTCCATCACCTGTAATGATTGCCACAAGTAATACATAGGAGGAACCTCAAGATAAAAGATATGAACACAAAAGGAATATTTTACAAAACAAACTCACAGCATTAGTTGCTCACTACAATGCGACTGGTCATCATTTTGATTTTTAAAATGATAATTTAATAAGTAAAGAAACTGCTAGGAACATCACCCAGACCCAATTACAGGGGTAGAGACCTGTAACAATTTTATGGGGTATTACAATGCACGCAGAGAGAAAAATTAAAGGTAATCGCCCAGACATCGTGATCAAAGACGACACAAACAGAATGTGCTTTCTTATTGACATGGCAGTCCCTGCATATTGTTATGTATCTTTGAAGACTCAAATTACTGAAGTGAAAATGTAAAACATGTGGCACATGAAGACATCAATAATTCCAGTTATAATTGGAGCACTCGGATTGATTGGAAAAGGTTCCGATAGACTCACTGAAGGAATTACTAGTAGCACATGCCTTAATGAAATACAAAAAATTATACTCACAAGTGCAGCTCACACGAAGAGCTGTGTCTATGTAAAATGTGTGTTATCTTAAGGGAGTGCAAAAAATTATCTGTAAAATGGCATGAAGCCATTTCTGATCTTAGGTCTCTGGCTGTGACCCGGAAAGAAAATGTGTATACAATAGAAATCAAAGGAAATAATAATAATAATAATAATAATAATAATAATAATAATAATAATAATAATAATAATAATAATTTTGTCGGACGTTATAACAACATTATATTTTGATAGTTGTGTCTGTCATTATTTATGTATCCGGAACAAGGCTAAAGAATTTGGCGAAATAATTGAAAATCAAATGAAGAATTGCAATTATCCAGACGAATGTACTTAATGACACGTTATCCCCGAGTGAAAGGATTTACGGACGAAAACAGTGAATCTGTATGAAAGAGAAGAAGAAACTTAAATTAATATTTAATGTTAATTTAGTTATTTTCAATTTTAATCTTCTGACTGAACAATTTTCGGTCCAAAATTTTTCAAAAACATTTTTTTTTTTAAATTTCTTCTTGGTCGGTATCCTGTCGTATATTCAGTTTTTTCCTCGGTTTTTTTTTATTTTGAAAAAGGAGTATTTGAAAACGAACCTTTCGCTGTTCGATATTGAAAACGGAAGCCGGTACATAAGTTAACTTGTAATCTTTTAAAGAAATTGTAGAACTAATTCCTAGTTGTTTGATTAATTGATTTTGTTTAGTAGCACAACAACCCCTATGGGTCATTTAATAATCTTAATAATTTGAACAATTTTATGGCCTCAACTAAAAACATTTTGAACGCAATCGTAAATAAAATAACGTATTTCTGGTTATTTTGCTTTAAAAATGTTTGTTTAGCTCCATATAAATTCCTCATGGGCCATTTAATGCCAAAGTTTTTACTTTTCTTCGTTGTATTAGTAATTTCTTTAACAAAAATGTATTACTGTTAATTTTTTTTTTTTTTAATGAAAATTTAATACTAATATTTTTTTCTATAAAAATGTATTTATACTTTCATAGTATTTTGACCCCAGTTTGACGGATTAACATTTGTACATAGCTGGGACCTTAACAGGTGCTACAACCTCGAGTCAGAGTGGACCTGGGAACATCAGCAATTCATAGGTCAATTGCTTCGTCCACCGCATGGAAAGTTGGCTCCCTGTGCCGCGCCAGGAATTTTTTCTCCCCGGAATCGATCCTTCAGATCTACAAATTCGCCCTTGCATGGAGTATTGCTGCCATATATGGTCTGGAGCCCCTTCTGTTTGCCTCGGGGTTCTTGATAAGATCCAGAGGCAGATATGCAACATAATTCGTCCTGTTCTGGCATCTTGTCTACAGTCGCTCTCTCACAGACACGCCGTCGCCTCTCTGTCTTTTTTACAAATACTTTCATGGTAATTGCTCCAAGGAGCTGCATTCGCTCGTTCCAAGACTTCATGAATTCAAGCGCCCTACGAGGCTGGCATCCCGCTCTCAACCTTTCACTGTCGAAACTATTAAATGTAGCCGTCTCTTCTACTCCAATAGCTTCATATCTCGCACCTTTCGCCTGTGGAACTCCCTTCCCTATTCCCGTTTCCCTGAGAGCTATAATCTCCAACTATTCAAATGTAATGTCAATCGACATCTCCAGTTGCCTTGATCTATCCACTATCCTTCTTCTCATCCTTTCCTCTATCACTCCTATCTGATCTTGCTCCAAATCCTATGTAACCCCTTGCGTCCTAATGGCTTCTCGCCTTGCTTGGGGTGAATCGCTTAAAAAAAAATAGATGGTCTCACGCTCCTCAAAACTTCTCCCGATCAGAGGCCTTGCTGTCGGATGTAGTTTATGTAGTTTATACCCAGGATTCTATTTAATATCTCGGTATAATAAATTTGGCGATGGTAGAAAAAAAAAAAACGGCGGTGAAGAGAAATAAATAAATAAATATATATAACTTTTGATTAATTTTACAAAATTAAAATAGATAACCTGGATTAAATACGTGCGGAATCTTTTGATCAGTCAATGAAAGATTAACATTGTGAATCGAATTATTTAACGATCTCGTAAATGGAAAACGAGGAGACTGGCTGGAAAGGGCGGGAAATTGATCAATAGTAGCAAAGGAAATCAGAAAGCTGAAAGAGAAGGGAAAGAAAGATTGAAAGAAAAAAAAGAGAGACGATGAGAGAAAAATAAAGGAAATGAAGGGAAAGAGGAGATAAAATGATAAAGAACGAAAAAGAGGGAAACAAATGTGGAATCAGGATGAGCATTAGAGCGAGAAGTTTTGGGATGACAAAGTGCAAGTGGGGGGTGGGGGCGATAGTGTGAAGACGGAAAGGGGAACAAGGAAACGTGTTAGGGAAATGGGAAGAGAAGTTGAAGAAAGAAAGGAAGAATAGAGAACAATGTATAGAGAAGAGAAAGAGGAAAGAAAAAGCGAGTAGAAATTAGGAGGCGGTAAGAAATAGAAAAGAAAAAAACAAACGAAACGAAAGGAGAGAGGAAAAGAGAATCAAAAGTCAATAGCAACGAGTAAAAGAGGAAAGTGAGAGAGCAAAAAAAAATAGATAGATAGATAGATAGATAGATAGATGTAAGAAGAAGAAGGAGAAGGAGGGGGAGGTAGAGAAGAAGAAGAAGAAGAAGGGGGAGGTAGAGGAGGAGGATGAGGAGGAGGATGAGGAGGAGGAGGAGAAGAAGAAGAAGAAGAAGAAGAAGAAGAAGAAGAAGAAGAAGGTGGTTAATGCCTCGGTCTCGGTGGAGAGAAAGTGAAACAAAATGAATTGTCCGTCACTACATTATGGATAACATCAGCTACAGTCGGAGTGGAATCAAGGACTATTGGGAAGTAAAATCTCATTTCACGCTTTCTGCTTTTCAAAAGTGGCAAATGATTGAAATTCATTAAAATAATGGCCGTTGTAATTCTTTATTTCCCGATGATTTTTCTTGCAGAAGATTTCCAAGACACCAGCTCAGAAAATAACATGAGAAAAATCTTCAATGTCACTTTATATTAAAATACACATGGCCAGTTCAATTCTGGCTCGTCAGTTCAATTTTGTGGAAGACGGACACGAGATACATTCAAAAATATCAGGAAACAATGAACTAAAGTAAACAAATGAAAAACATACATAGCTAATTAATATCAGTCATCTATATGCATTTTCATATACTAGGGGATGCAAATGTAGATATACAGTAATGAAAAACAAAACGTGTAGAGAAAACCTATTGTATTGATTATACAAACATCTCAATAATAATGTCTTCCAGTTCTGTGTCAAAATCCATTTGTATTCCTCGTCCATTATATTACCTACAATGATTTTATTATTACTATTTATCTAAACTAAAAATTATAATAAATGTATTATAATAAAAATTATGAAAATAAAAATATTAAAAATTATTTTGATGAATTCAATTATTTCTCCTTATTAAATAAATTATAGAATCACCATTATTCTACTGCTAATAATGGTATTATATTTACTGTGTACCTACTTTTGCACCCCACCATATATAAACAAAGGATGGGAAATAACTCCCCATTTTAAAATCTTTAACATTTTATTTATTAACTATAATTTTTATAAGAAATATATATGAGCGGAAAGAGTTGATCATGAGGTTTTACTTAAAATTCGATATGGACACCAAATTTCGCTTCCAGCTTCTCGAGACGCCCCGGAATCATGTCAAATGATTTCATCAGGATCTTTTGTGGTATGGAAGATATAAATTCTTGTTCTTCCAAAATCTTCTTCCAAAGTCTTGGTTTAGTATAGTAGACTTGCTCCTTTAACCAACCCCAAAGAAAAACTTCACAGGGTATTAAGTCAGGACTCCTGGCTGGTCGCTCATACATAAAATGATGAGTTATTTTTCAGTCACCCTGGGTGGATAAAAACTCCATATTGAAAATGACTTATAACTTTTTTAATATCATCACATTCGCATGAAAAACATATATTGTGATCTCTAAAGAAACAGACGGGACACCTACAATAGATCATCTAGAAACTATTTAGGAACCTCGACTAATTTGTCTTTAGGAATCTCCATTAATTCGTTTTAGAAACCTCCACTAATTCGCGATACCTAAGGTTTAAAATGAATTTATAAAAACGAAAAGCCTTTCTTGAAGCTTTCATTTTATCTCTAATTGAAAGCTAAAGGATTAAATTTACTATTTCCAGTAAACAAAATTCTCAAATGTATTTCAAACAGAAATTATATTGACTGGAATCGTTTTTTTTTTCTAAAATATCAGATTAGCGCCCTATTTTAGTCATCATTCATCGCAATGTAATTCTCAGTATTAAAAAATCTTCCAAAAATAAAAGATTAAAATATACTTCTCTGAAACTTGAGATATATTAGCTGATAATTAATTAATCTGATTTGAAAAAATATTATTTACTCTAAGTTTAAAATAAAGCAGAAATGCAGTTTTAAAACAAGCACTAGATGTGTTTTAACCGAGAGTACCTAGCCTGACGATTGTTGACAAGTGACAAAAATGTGTTGACAGTTTTATATGTTCTTCTACAGAGGCTTAATCTGTAAAAAATAATTTAAGAAAATAACATGAGCGCCTTTCTTTTATATAATTTTTGAGTAATCTTAAAAATCTTGGAAAATATTCTCCGTAATCTAATTTTAGGAATGTTGACTTTACATTTACTATAGTCATCGCTCCTATTTTCTGATAATGTCGTGTATGGTCGACCATACATTAAAAAATGGGCACGTTTATGCACAATAAAAAATTATTTTTAAAATCTTTGTAAGTGATGATTTTTATGAAGCTTTTTAATATAAGTATAGTATTTTTCTTAATAACAATATCACATAACGCAATGAAAATAATGGAGAATTTTAAAAGATTCATCTATAAATTGTAATAAATTATTATGGTTAAAATAAAAAAAAAATGAAAACAATTCTTGTAAAAATTCATTATGATCGAAAGAAAAATTCGTCTGAAGACAATAGTGTCCTTAATAATACAATTAAAATCTTTTCTAATTAAATAATATAATTTTATTGCTTTTTTAATTTTACGATTCCGGACAGGTTTTCGGGAAATGGCTTATTGACGATTTTCATTCTCCAAGGAAACCTGGAGACAAATTTTGCAAAAAAAAAATTTCATTTCTCGAAATTTCATAAAATTATGTAAATGTGGGTTATCATGTAAAAATAAAATACTTTTACCAAGTTTTTCTAAAAAGAAAATTTCAAAAATAATTTCATTCATTTGTGAATAAGTCCTGAAAGATTTATTAAAATCTGACAATTATTTGATTTTTCAAAGAATTCCCAAATCAATGTTTTTATCGAAAGAAAAAATATTAGGACGACCGGTGACGCAAAAAAAAAAAAAAAGATTTTTACCCAAAATTTGGAACGTGCTAGAAACGATTCAAAATTTAATAAAATACTTTTGTCTTTGCTCTTAATAATAACATAAACATTTTGACGATAAAACTTTGTTTTTATTAAGTTTGGGCTTTTTTCATCATGGTATATTATGTTCAAAATATTTAGATTTCGACATTAAATAACCCAAGGTGTTGACCTCTGCCGCTAATCAAAAATAACCAATCAACCGAAACAGACGTTAAACACATGCCATAGCTGAGTTGGAGTTGTCGAATTCTCACTTTCGACAACAGCGATTACATGGCCTTGTGGGTGATGAACAGTTTTCCACTCTACAATCCCTTTCCCATACACGGAATGTCGTTAGTTTCTATCTCTATTTCCCTGGCAAATGTTCAAACGCACTATATTCCTTAGTTCCATCAGTTCAGATCTTTACAACTACGACCCACCATGTCACGCACATAAGGTCGACTCATCCTCATTTCTGTCATATTCCATTTGTAAGGATGAGGTGCACACTTAGTAGGCTTCTTCCCAATAACAGACTTCCGAGTAAACACTTCCCCGTTCACTTCATGTCTAGGGTCAACCGTTAGCTATGCTACACATCCTCCTAATATGAACTCCTTAATTCTTTCCCTTACGCCAAGACCAAAACTGCATTTAATAACCATCTACATTGAGTGGCTCTTGGGCTTTCTATTCGGTGAACAATAGTATAAAAGAGGAAAACTTTAGCCTACAGTATATACTATTATATACTTTATTCGCTGGCAGCCATTTTTAATATTTTTTTTCTGAGAAAGATGTATACAGCTGATAGTTTAGATATTTCAGCACGAATTTGGCTCTACGTATGGCATCCATATTAATATCTCGATCCGACAAGGCTATTTTTTAAAAACATACGTCAAATAAAAGCGTAATCATTAAACCAACTATAATTATTGTTTCCTCTTTGAGCCATGGTCTTAATTAGCTCTGGTATCTCAGAAAATTTCTTCAGGTAAAAGAAAATAATAGTCTCCACCCCTTTATTAAGCATCAAAGACTCACAGACAACAAATTGAAGTTATTTTGTTTCCTGTGTAATGATTCTTAGAATTGGTAAGCTAATCTTAGTAAATAAATATTCTTGATATTTTTAGTCAGCGTATCTTTTTCTTATTTGAAAATTCTTAGATTTGTTTTTCTATCAGTGTTTTTAAGCTTATTTCTTCTTTGTTATTTGCTTCCTTCTCCCTGTTGCTTTTCTTTATATATAAGTCCTTTACGATTCTATTATCCAAAATTATTCATTCCCTTTAGTCATGTTGTGTTTGTTTTTAGTGAGGGCGACGTTTATCCATGTTCTATTTTCAGTGTTTAAATTTTCAGTCATAAAGAATTTATTATCTTTAGTCGATGATTTCTTTTAGAGACAACAATCAATTCTACAAACAACTCACAATTCTTGTCAGACGAAAATCAGAAGCTGATATTTGTAAATTTCGGAAATAGAATCTCACTAAAATGACGCAACAAAGCAAGCTTGAAATTGTATAAACACTAAATGAATAACGAATCAATACAAAACATTAGCAACCAAATAATTGTTCACATATAAAGAATGTGTATTACATCTTTTAGAACATAAATACAGATCAAAATATAAAAAAAATCAAGTACGAGTAAATTTGTAGAACACTATTTACAAATATGAGTTTATTTTTGTTGAATATGAAAGCAGAAAGCTCTCTGAAGACATTGATAATTTACTTAGAAAAATGGTTCGAATAAAAATTTATTACAAAATTTTAAACAAATAACTTTTTTCAGTCTTCGAACAAATCTGCATCAATCAGAAATTGTTCATATATAAACAGTTGTCCAAAAATGTATACACAATTCAAGAAAACTTGTCTTTCGTAGTCATAGCAAATTGCGCTAACACTGTTTACTGCAGTATTTTCTCGACAGATGTGATTATCTTCATGATTGTAGCATCAAAAAAATCCTAAGAGATGTGTATCGCACAAAACTGACTACATTGGCAGACCATAAAAAAGAAATTGAAAATGCATATGCAGTAATCCCACTGGACACTTTGGCCAACGTTACCCAAGCAGTAATTCGCCGTACAAATAAATGTCTGGAAGCTAAAGGCCACCATTTTGAGCATCTCTTGTGAGTTTAGTGTCCAAAGGTAATTTGTATTAACCTTGTGATGTCTGAATAAATTTAGTATTACAGTATTAATACAAGTTTTTCCTTTCCTGAAATGTGCATACATTATAAGGAGTAGACTATATATATATACTTAGTGCAACAGTAAAAATGTCCAAATCGTGTACCAGCAAAATTGTCCAATTGTTAG